AAAAAAATATATATATATATATACATACATACATATAAATATATATATCTATGTGTGTGTATATGTAAGTTGTATTTTGTGGAATTTCCCATTTGAATTGGCTACAATTCCTTATTACCCTCTCAAAATACAAATTTTACCCATTTCTCAAAAATGATTCTCTTAACCTTTTAGTTTCTGTAGCACAGAGTAAAAACTCGGTTCGAATCAAAAGTTCGGATTAAATCAATATTTCAGATAGACGTATCGGACTAAATTTATATACGATTTATCGGTTGGTTCGGGAGATTAAAAATATAAAATATTTTAAGTATGCTTTTTTTTTCTTTTTCTTGATGTTTTCAATTGGGCGTATTCCAAATTTTTGTTCCTTGAAAATGCATTTTTAGTTATTTTTAGTTCTGATAAAATATTTTCTGACTATATAAATTAATGAATATAATAGAGATACAATGAACCTAAAAAGTGATCATAATTACGTGCTTCTAATAATATGTTGTAGGTTAATTTTAATCCATTATTGTAGTTTAATCCTCATAATTGACGCGTATAACAAAGAAAACTAAAAACTTTTAAGTGAAAATGAGAGGATAATATCTTAAAAAGTGATTTGCTATCGAAAAAAGCAAAGTGTCGGTATAATTAATTAGATATACTACAGAAAAAAATATTTGTTTCTCTCAAAAATGAAATTGGTAAGCTTGTTTGATACTGAAATATAAATAATTATCGTTGTAAATAAGATATTTAATTTATGCATATTTTAATTAACATAGAATATAATTATTTTTTCTGATAATTATATACAATAAGAAATTTAAAAAGTGAAATGGTAAATCATTATAAAATTGTTGATACGTTATTAATTTTTAATGACAATAAAAATAACAACAGAATCATAATTTTTAATATTATATAGTGAGTGAGTGAGTGAGTGAGTGAGTGATTGATGAAATTTAAACTTACATTTCATAATTAAATACCATATTCATTTGATAGTATTAGTAAGTAGATTAATAAATATTAAATTATTTATTATTATAATATTAAAAAAGGCTGAATTGTTTACCGGGAAAAGGAGTTATCTGTTTAAAGAGGCCTCTGTCTTGTATATATTATAAAAAGCACAAGTCTTTCTCTCTAGTTTTCTTTTCCCTAATTTCTCTCACTTCTAAGAGACTTTGTTTTCACCTTCCTGCCCCTGCCCGCCGTAGACTGAATCAGATCTCCGGCATTGACTCATTTTTCTGGTAACTGTTTATCTTGCAATTTTTTTTTTGATAGTATTCAATCTTTTCTGTTAAATTTCTAATTTATTTATTATTCTTGATAATAGTAGAGCAACAGAAGAGAATAAAGTGGCATTATCTATGGCGAGTACTGAGAAGGATTTCTTTTCCTTCTGTTATTGCTATCTTTTCCTGCTCATGAGAAAATAAATTTGGTACTCTGCGAAATGTATGGTCCGCTGTCCGGTTCCATAGCCTATAAGCTCACTGTAGTTTGCCCTGGAAAGAAGAGCTGGTGGAACAAACGAGGAGATCTCCGATCTGTCATCTTCAATCTTTCCTCTCGGCTGTCTGGATTTTCTATGGAAAACTGGGAGTTTACTAGGTCAAGGAGATTTGGATTCTTAGCTATTGTTTGAGCTCTAACTAGGTACTGTCTGTAATTCTGTTTCTTTGCTGGAAAATTTTACACATCCAGGAAAAATTAATTGTTCGCTGTTTGTAATTGAAGGGAATTTTCCAAACATGAGGCTGAAAGCGGAGGATGTTTTTCTGCAATTCAGACCGAAATCCGCCATGAATGGGGAAATCCGGTTTTTCTAGGTCCCCCCAATTATAACACCTAAGAGAAAAGGAAGAAAGTTGAGAATTTCTCGGTAGAAAAATGGAGATAACCAGAGAATTGCGAGAAGAGATGATAATTAAGGATTCCTGGATTCCTCAGACTCCATATAAGCCCCTCCTGACAAGTATATCGCCGATCTACCTAGAAAGAGAAGGAAATCAGCAAGAGCAGGCAAATTGGGGGGAATCGGAAAAGTACCCGGCCGTTCTTTTGCCGGCACCTCGAAGTGATAGCACAGCTGGATGTCTCCGACCGACAGCTTCCTCAGGTACTGCGGCCGTAATTGCCAATAGCTTCAAGATAGATTTAGGTGAGAAATCGGGCACTGGTAATGACAGTTCTGTTGATGCATGTGCAGAATTCTCCATGGACACCGTGTCTGGGTTGAACAATCTGGGTTGTGCAGACCTCCTGGCTCTGGCGGATGCGGCGGCGATGGCGTCTGTCCAACGGAACTACAACATGGCCATGGACTCGTCGTTTTCCATAACTACTTCTCAGATTGACGGTCGGGGTATGGAGTCCGGCCATCCAGTTTTCTCCTTCATGAACCCCGGTTTCTCAGTCGGAGCAAACACGTGGATTGCTCGCAGTGAGTCACTGCAAAAATCGCAGAGTAAGTAAATTTATATTCGCTTCTAGTTGCTCATTTTTAAGGATAAATTAAAGTTAAAAAAAAAAGACAGAAAATGTTTTGGATAATAAAAGAAGGTGAAGATATTATTATATTATTTTATTTGTTTCAGACCTATAAAGAATTAATTATAGGAATACCGTAGACAATCATTTTTTATTATTAAAATGACAGTTAAACTTTTTCGTTTTTAACTTTATATTTTTATTTAATTTTTAAAGTAGAAATTTACGTGCAGTTTAATTTTTTAATTTCAAATTAAGCGTCAGTAGATTAAAATTTTTAAGGGAGAGAGCAAGAGATATTCGCCATCTTTTCTTAAAAATATTTGAACTCTCCCCTTTTCTTCTTACTTTTTCTTGTACTTTAGTTAAACATAGGGTAAATAAAGATTGGTTAGCTAGTGAAAAATTACCATTGCTCACGTGAAATTCACATGTTTGAATTTGCATGCAATAGTAGAGTAACATTGCCATAAAGAGTTTTTCTGCTTACACCGACTATTTCTCGATTTGATAGTTGGTATTTCATTCTCTTTATAAAAATTATAGATTTGAGTCGGATGATATATGTTTATATATTTTCGTTAATTTCCTATTTCTACCATGTGTGTGTGTGTGTGTATGGATCTCGAGAGTATACAAAGTAACAACTTAGTAACACACTTATTTGATAACTAAATTCAGTAATATGAAAAATATAATAAGTCAAAATTTAACTCAATATTTGATTGAAGGATTGTTTAATAAACTGGTTTTTAAATAGTGAATCATTATATCCTTAAACTCTACTAGATAGCTCTATTCTTAGATTAACTTATAAGGTAGCAACATTCTTGGTTAAGTAATAAATAAGTCAAGCAGTTACTAGGTAATTAATTCAATTCAATTTAAGGGAGCCTGGAATTGTTTATTTAATGTTAGTAAGCAGATTTAAGTGTGTATATCCGATTTAATTGTTCAGTAAAAAAAAAGGATGCTTTGCATGACCCACCCAAAAGTGGCTTTAAGTAAAATCATAGAATAGCACTCATTCATTATCGATTTAGGATATTCATCTTCTATGTGTTTAATTATTTATTTATCCTTGCATATTTTCATTTTTTTGGAAAAAATTGTAATACATACGCATTTTCAACAATAAGAATCTTTGTATAAATACATTATTACTACATTTGTTACATTGAATAACATTATCCTGTAGTATCCAACGCTCGAGAGTAATTTGTTTTATCGGTAGGACGCTTTTAATGAGTAGGATAAGGCACGTGCACATCCTATAGTGAAAAGCATTATTCACTCATGAGAAGTGAATAACCACAACTCACCTGAGTAGCACTTTAAAAGGACTATACTAAACCATTTATTTTTTCTTCAAAAGTAGAATAACCGTTGCCCTCACTATCACCCATGTCATAGTTGCCACCATCACCTATTGTCGTTGCTATCGTCATTGACCACCCTATTCGACATCCATCACCATTGTTATGATAGACACCCTAAATGTCATTGCCACCGTTGCCAATGTCTTTGTCATCAACACTTACCATCGCCATCATTACCACCATTATCGATACAGTAGCTGTTGGTATAATCACCACTATCACCTTCATCGCCATTGCCACCTCCAACGCCATTACACATGTTGCTACCCTTATTACCACCTTTTATACTAGGAACCACCACCATCATCACTCCATCATAGCCACCGCCATCCTCACTTCCATCACTTTTCCCATCATTTCTCGTCACAACTACTATTGTTGCTATTGCTACCATCAACAACAACACTACCACTACAACCCTTTTTCTCAAACGCCAAAGCAACACCCATGTCGTTGTCACCACTATTGTTGCTACTACTATCGTTACTATTGTTGTTGCTACTACCACCACCATACTATCAGTATTAGAAAAAAAAGTAATATAGTTCTTTATGCTATATTTCATTGCTAGTCATCTCAAACATATGATAGAAAAGAATCTTACCTATTGGTAGCTTACCATATCCTACCAACTATCTTACACTACTAAATCCATTATACTAACCTAGTAGCTCTAACTTAAATACATAGTCCCCTTTTTTAGAGCGAGTGATGAGTAAACTAAAACTTTGAGTTTTCCACTTAACTTCGGAGTCCTTATGCACTGCTCCAGGTAGATGCTAATAAATACCTAGTGTTTTTAAGTACCTTACTAATTTATTATAGAATCTCAAACGCATTTTTGATATATAACTAATACGTCATAATGCAATTCTCTTTGGCTACCCTTTAGATCTTATCCCTTTGGATACTCTTTTTGTAAATTGGAAAGAAATGAACAAAAGGGCTTTTGAGGGGATAAAGTGGTTATTTGATAGGATGAAAGATTCTTAGTTAAAGAGACTAGACTTTTTTTTTAGGAGTCATCTCATCTATTCTAGCGAGGATTTGGGGGGACTTAATTGACCGTTAATAGATCCGTAAAGCTTTTGTATACGGGTTGCATCTTCCTTGGAGGTTTTAATATTATACTTTTTATAAAAAAAAAAACAATTCTCTCTTACCTAATAGAAAAAGTTCACTATTAAACTACCATCTCACTTAATTTGTGTCCCACTGAGATTGGAATAATAAACTTAGTAAGTAGACAGTAGTAGAACACAATTAAGCATTATGCATTTACGGGCCACATTGTTTTTGAGTTACAATACTTTCTTGTTTAATGACTCAATACCAACACACATTTCTATTTCATATCTCCCTTTCTGCTAAAGTTATTTCAGCATCAAGACTCACATTTTAATAACATCATTTACACATATTTCAACTTACCATTTCATGTGCCTCTGGTTACTTTTTTTGTTTTTAATTGAATTTGATCTGAAACTGACCCTGTGATTGTGCTGTACAGATGAATTATCCACCTCTGACCAGCATTTTTATGATCTTAATTTCCCTCCTGGTACTACGGCAAATAAAGTCCCTAACAAGATAATCTCTGAATTTGCTCCAATAACACCAGAAAAAGGCAAGAGAGTAGAGGGCAGACAACTTTCTGAAACAGTCAATTTATGCAGTGAAGGAATAAATCAGGAAGGGAATAAGGAGGGGACTAAAGCCAATAATCCTGATAGGATAGAGTGCAGTAATGAACTCACACAGCCTATTACTGATTTCATGCTCGCGCAACCGTCGAGAGAGAATCACAACCCTGACATGGGAGGTAGTCATGACACGGAGATAAACAAAACACCACAGCAAAAACCAAAGAGGAGAAAACACAGGCCAAAGGTAGTAACTGAACACAAACCTAAGAGGACTCCGAAGTCAGCAGCTACAAATACTGACTCTAAAGAAAATCAAACACCTAAACCTAAGCGGAAGTATGTTAGAAAGAAGCCACTCAACAAAGATTCAACACCTTTGCCAGCAGAAGCTGGTGGAGAATCTTATGAACCCAAAACACTTAGGTCTATCAAGAAGTCTGCCAGGAGGTCATTGAACTTTGACAAAGAAGAACAACCCAGAGATGAAAATTCTACATGTGTTTCAACTTTTAACCTACATTCAGATGTACAGGCACAAAACCGCTGTAACAAAGAAAATCTAGCACAGTCAACCACGCAGCTGCCAGATAGAGTGGAAGTGATGGTAGAAAACATACAAAAGGAAGGCAACACCTGCAACCTTTTTCATGCTTTGAACCAAGCACTTCCCGCTTCTGATGGACAAGCACCCAGCACACCACTCCCAGCAAAGACTAATCCCCCTCGGAGAAGAAAGCGAAATGCCCCTTCACAAAAGGAAAACAATGAAGGAGAAACTGGCCAGCTGATTATCAAGAGCCAAGAGGATATGATGAGAATCATTTCCCATCTTGACACTCAGCCAAGAGGTCCAGATGATAAAGATAGTACTAGCACCCTTGTGACTGAGGAAGGACAGGCAAATAGATATTATTCTAGAGCTACTGACCCAGCAAACACCTGCATAACAAAGGAGATTGGGGTTCGGTATGATATGTTACAAGCATACGAGAGAATGTCTTGGGTACATTTTCCAAACAGTCACAAGAAGAAGAGAACTGAGAAAGGCCAACATTCTACTACATCTAGTGCATCATCATCCATAACGGCTTTAACCACTTTTTCGGGACAAGAATCAAGAGTAGATCCTTCTATGTCAACAACTAACTGCTGGATTTCTTCTCAGTCTGATGCCAATGGAGTGCCAACTTCACTTGAAGAAGCACAACAAAGTGGTTTACAGGATAAAGTGCAATCTATTGAGTGTATCCGAGGCATAATTCAATCAGAAAAGTTTACAAAAAAGAGATCCAGGGGCATTTATAGGGCTCGAGACTCAATTTCTCTGAGTAGAATTGTGGACTGCAACATGTACCTAAATTATCCAGGTGGACACACACTAGCACAGTGTGATAGGCAAGAATCCAATAATTCACCCAGGTCTCATCCAAATATAGAAGCCATAGTTGCAAATATGCAATCAACATTGGCAAGAAAGAAGAGGACCAAGAAGAGGAACACCTTTGTCAATCCAACTTTGCCCAGAGCAAAGGACTTGCAAATGCACCATCGAATTGCCCTCAATGATCACAGTAAGTTCTCTGCCCTACCATTACGTATGGTTGACAACTAAGTTAAAACTTTGTCTTGCCACTACCTTAAGATCACCAGGTAATTATTTTTAATTAAGTTATGAAATGCAGGAACTACTCCAGAGGTACTATGGAATCAAATGTCCATTGAGGCAATCAGTGAGCAATTGAAGCTGTTAGATATCAACAGGGAAGGTAACCATATTCCATGTCAGGAGCAGAATGCAATTACCCTTTATAAAATGGGAAATCCAGAGCAGAATGCCCTTGTTCTTTATAGAAGAGATGGCACTCTTGTGCCTTTCTATCCCATAAAGAAACGACGGCCAAGACCGAAAGTTGACTTAGATGATGAAACTAATAGGGTCTGGAAACTTCTAATGGGAAACATCAACAGTGAAGGAATCGATGGAACAGATG